ACTTTATAAATGGTGAGTATACTACATATCTGTGTATCAATCACATTACCATGTCCATGTATTGCTGCAAACTTCGCATTGCTACCATGTTGTATTTACATGAGTTATTATCATGGGAATAAAGATGTTGGTTCTATTATTGGGTCTCTTTCGTCTCTGGACAGAAGGGAGTAACTGGAGCTGTGTTCAAAGTGAATGGGTTGTATCGTGGATCATGTCTGGCCTCTCAGACAGTCTGCTCAGATGCAAGTGGAACCAATCAGTTTGTTGCTCCCCCAAGATCTTCCATCCGGTTTTAAAAATGTCTCCATATTGTTCATGTGAGTGATTGGAATTTCCATACAAGTGCAATAAAGTAACAAAATATACACCTCAGTCAAATAAGGATTCTGAAATTTGTTTTCAGTATTGCAAATATTTACTTTTGGGGCCTTGGATCCTGTGTGATCTAAAGAGTGGATATGAGCGTGTGCATTAGACTCAGAGAGAGCCATGACAATACTTCAGCTGAAGTTCAGCTATAGTTTTGAGATTAATAAAAACCCCTACAGGTTAGTTCTGGGTCAAAGGTGACACTGAGGTGTTTTGTCCTTTGGCTTAATGTAATCATAAGAATTCAACACCTCAGTGGATGTCTCGATCCATAGGTCCATCTATTCTCCTGACAATAGTTTATTCTGTTGGGATTGTGATGCACTTCAGTCTTTGGATGAAAGGTTGGTTACATCATGACTAGATTGCAATCTGCAATCTGCAAACCACACACACGAACACTTGTGGACAAGTCACTGTTGTCCTTTGACTGTTTGGGGAAACTCTCAGACACTAGGGGAACGGATGATAAAAGCTGCGGCCCGTCAGTAGATTCAAACCTCAGACTCATACAGTGCTAACCGCTGCTGTCCCTAAATAATGATTGTCTAGTCCAGGGTTTCCACCTTAACTGGTCACAACACAGTCAGAGAAGCTGTTGACACAACCTATAGCAGGAAATTACGCCAAGACTCAGAACTCTACATATATCTTTTACTCTGTAATGTTACACATAAAAAACACATCCAGTCGTGTGGTCCCGTTCTGTGGTTTTGGTATAAAGCAGAATATTTCAGTCTAAAGTCACACAGACTTTTGAGGAAATATTTATTGTGGTCAGGATTGTTAAAATATGTTTCATTTATAGCCCCAGTAAAACAATGTTCAATTTTTCCCGAATGTTATTATCTCGTGTCATTTTATATTTAGTGATTTTCCCTTATTTTCATTCTTTCCTCCTACGGTTTGAATCACAATCCCACAGCGCCTAGTTTTGTTGATTTGAAGGAAGACTTTTATTAAAACTGACTCACGATTAAAACTCATAATTGAAGAATTAGATCTTTGATGTCTACTTACAAGCCTTGTTTTAATACCAGTTTCCATTGCTTTATTTTCAACATATAGCAAGTTTATCAGCTTCTTTAAACATATTTATTGACCAAGTTGCAGGTGATTATTTTTAGAAAACAATGGTGTTTACTGTCACCTTTTTTCCTATGTTAGTCAATAATGGCCATTTAATGGTCATTCGACTTTAAAGGTACAGTGTGTAGAATTATGTGATATCTAGTGTTGAAAGTGCATGTTGCAGCTGAACACCCCTCACCTCACCCTCTCCTTCCAAACATAAAAAATAACCTGTTGTTTTCATAAAAACTCAAAAGGTGTTGAGTTTGTCCAGTCTAAAGAAAACTACAATTCATACAATTTACATGAAATGAACTATTGAAAACATCATGAGAATTATTCTACATTAAATTTCTGCCAATAGATCCCTTTCACCCAAATCTTACACACTGGACAATTTCATTGTTAGCTGATGATTATGGACTGATATATGACCTCCTCAGCTTTTAACAGAAACAGATGTTCTTAAAAACTATTTGACATTTAACAATATTCGCACCAAAGACACAGGATCACTTGTGAAGCACAAGACTTTTAGGTGAAACGTTTGATTTTCACTCTAATAGTAATGCTCTCGTGGTCCATTTTATATTGTTATCTTTTAGATGTACTATTTGGCCGACTACAGCTTTTACTTACCAACCAAACCAAACACTCTATCTGATGCAGGGTGTGTTTGAGTGGATGTTGTCTGAGTCACTCTCAAGAAACTGTATCAAGTGTGGTTTTCAACAGCAGTCTGCGTTCACCACAGAGAGCCTAATGCACACAAAGCAACAGAAAACAGGATGAATGCACGACCAGCTTCTCGCCACACCTAAAGTTCTAAGTCTAGAGAAAAAGAAACATATATAATGTGGTAATTCATGATCAATAAGTGACTAAAGTAATAGTTTACGAGTTACGAAGAACAAATGGTCCAAAGCTTTTCTTTCCATTTCATTTGTCACTGTGAAGCCTCCCAACTTTTTAACAGTATTTAAGTGTCATTAATTCATAATATTGTTTCTGCTGTTCTGCCGACCTTTATGAATGTAAATGAGGCCAAAATAAATAAATACAGTTCAACAGCACCACAAACTGCAGCCTCTAAAATCAAGTCAGGTTTATTTATCAAGCGTGTTTAAAACATCCTGAGTCGACCAAAGTGTTGTAAGAAATGAAAAAAGTACAAGAATAAAACAAATACTAGAACAGCACTCGGTAGACCACATAGTGTAACTCCACCAAGGCCCAACAGTTCCCTTATATTCCATTTGAATATAAAATACTGAAGATACATATAAACTGCAGATTCTCTCCTGGACTCCTGATCTCAGCTACACATCAGTGATAGTTACAGCTTTTCTAATTCTACACACATTTAAATATGTTATATCCAGAGTATTTTTTAAACTTTAAAAACATTTAAGAACTGGATTCTAATTTATATGACCATATACACCACGGTCAAAATCTATGGCGCTTATTTCTTTGTTCTGTTAAGTAAGGCTCGTTGAGTTTAAGGTTTCTTTACGCTTCATTTTGAGATATGTTCTCTTTACTCATGTGCTAACAAGTCAATTATCAAGATCTCTCTTCATCAAATGTTATTTGATGGCACATGGACACTTTGAGGCTAACTGTAATATTTTGGTTGGCTCTTTCTTTCTACAGGACTCAAACTTTTCCAGTTTAATTTTATACATACGTGCCATTCACCCATTTAGGCACACATTCATACACACACACTGATGATACGACCATAGTGGTGAGGTTGGGCTCAGTCTCTTCACACTTTGACTTTGGTCTGGAGGAGCTGTAAGAACGTAACCGACCTTCTGATCAGTGGACGACCTGCTCCACCTCCTGAGCCACCACTGCCATCTAATTATATTATGTATAAATCATAATCATTGTTTTATGGTAAACAGGCGATTCAGGAAAAAAAAGGCTATTTATAACATTTTGGTTTTATCAAGCAGAACTTTAATTACTTTTTTGTGAAACTGGTGATGTCATGAAAAGATATTAAATAATAGATATTTTCCGAACTTTGTTTCAGTCTGTTAAAAAATGTGAGCTTTAATTAAATGTATCCTCACACCCTCAGAGTTAAAATAAGAGTCCATTGTGCATCTTGTGTGTTCCACCTTCAGCTGACATGTTCCTGTTCAGTCTCTTTGCCCAGAATAAAGATATTCAACATACTCTGCAGCCACAGGATGGCAGCAGAAGCTTATTTGGTTGGTATCAGACACACACGTCTTCAGTTATTGTCTACATTTTATCTAACTATAGGGATGGAGATGTAAAACCAGCTATTACCACCACAAGGTCAAAGGAATTGAAAAAAACCTACTGTCTACGAAATATGTGAAAAAGTAAATGTACAGTAGAATATTTGTTTATAGTATCTTTGACCAAATGATGTGTACTCAGAATAAGTCAGACTTGGGCTACCCAGTGAATATAATGGTGTTTTTGTCATGTTCTACAAAATTACTTAAAGCTTCTGCAGAGACACCCTCACCAAGTATAGGATAATAGATTCCAAACACACTGACAGCATCGTACAGTATTTTAAGTTACAGAAGTACTCTGAGCTTTTACTGAAGTAAACACAGCAACACATTGCATTCAAAAAAGTATCAATTATATTATATAATATTTAAGTATCAAAATTTAAAGTAATCATTACGTAGAATCCCACCTTTCAGCAAGCTATGTTTATATATTATATGTGTTATATTATAAGGAGCAATTTAATATCTCACCTGTTTGAGGCAATGTAAATGATTTACTACTTTAAAGACGAAGACATTCCTCTTTTTTCTTGTTGATTATTTTTCTCGAGCTTTAAGAATGTGCCATGAATGTTTTAAGTATATTTTGCTCTCAAATTCTAGATATTTCATACACAGTCCCTCCATGTTCCTGGTCACACCGATAACAGAACCACTGTTCTCTCTGAAGCCTAACAGTTATTAAATAATCAGGTTTTGTGTTTTTTCAATGTGTCGATAAGAGTTCATGTCTTTTTAGATTCTGCCATTGACATAAACTCAGGTCAGTTCTTACATGAAATTTGGATCAAATCAGTTTGTCCCAAGAGATGAAAACTTATTTCCATTCAGTCCGTTGCCTTCGTTTGATCATTATTATCAAGTATCAGAAACAATCCAAATATAAAAGATCCTGAAAAGCTTTGATTTTCTTTTTAATATTGAAGCATAATCATTTCCATCAAATTTCACATCAGATTCTATTAAACCTACTCAGGCGAGTTTATTATGTGTTTCATAAAGTGAAACTACTTCTTTTGTCCTTTCAGAATTGCATATGTTTGTCAGCTATTTGTTTTTCTTTTCTCTGCTCACATAAATACTTCTGTTTTGCTCTATTTTCTGAAATATTCATAGTTTTGCAAAAGTACTGAACAAGTCAGTGTAGTGAATCTACACTCTACAGCATCGTTCCATATGTTCTCTCTGCGTGTATACAAATGGAAAAACATTCTACTGCTTTAAGTTTCTAAAGATGAAAAGTGTACGAACATAGTGACCATTCAGCTGAAGTAACTTTTCCGAATGTACATTTTATTTTAAACAAAAGTACAAAAACAAACATCAGATATTTACAGTACTTGCATGGCAATGTTCACTTTCTTTGGTCAGTCTTCCAATTTGATGGTTTTACACAAGGTAGGCAACAAACAGCACCGCTGAGGTCTGAGATCAGAACATGCTGAATCTGAATCTATTATTAAACCGGACACTGAGCAACCTTCTGGTGACTCAGAACTTAATTACATTTTGTAGAGTCTGCAAGCAATTCATCAATCCAAGATGTGAGTTATGTGACAAATACTGAATTTGCCTACCAGGATATTCAAATTAGTTCAATATAAATAGCAAAAAGAAATGTAAAAGCACATACTTCACAATTATATCCTGGCCTCAGTACATTTTCAGATTTAGTAAATGCTGTTTAAAGACCAAAAACATGTGACATGTACAGCTGCGTGTATTCCATGGTATTCTACACAAATTTGAACATGAAAACATGAACCCTAGTGCACGTCACAAACCGAAGCAACAACAGGTAGATTTTCAAAAGAAGGCTAACATACCATAACGGCCACTTTGAGACGAACATCCTGTCCAATCTGTGTCCTCGATTATAAAATTATGCCATAGCTGAATAATGAACAGGCATTCTTTCAACACTGAAGGAGCACAAATTAAGAATTAATTTACAACCTTGATGGATAAAACTACAATATCCGGTCATGACTACAGGCTTGAGGACATTCCCCTGGGAATCAGAAAACAAAAAAAACACTTTATGTAAAAGAATCTGTGCATTCAAACTAAAGCCAGTGGGTTTAATTAAGCTCATACATTCTCTCAATAATCTACCTGCTTGTGTAATTACAGTGGCTATGTTGAATGTACAATGGATTGAAAAAACAAAAAAAAGAGACGGGCAAGAATGACATTGCGTCATTTTTCTCTCGTGGTTACTTTCCATGAAGGTACACACAATCAAATAACAAGAAAATCATGTAACACCAAAGAACTCACATCACCTACTTCCTGCATGTAAATCAGATTACCATCTATTCCTAATGCCGAGTATAACAATATACCCTTAGCCCTTTCAGGAGTCTTATCTCAAATTTTCGTGACCTTATTAACGCCTGGCTTATAATGAATGAACAGATTTATTTAAAGGCAGACTTCGACTTCGTTTGACTTCGATGACGTAAAACAAAGAAGCGGTGGCAATGACGTCCCCTCGGGCCCGACTATGTCTCTGAGGGCCGAAAGAGTCAAACGTGGACTAAATCAGGCCTACACGTCCTCAACAACAAAAGGCAACTGGTCTAGAAGTCATTTTACTTGCATTGACTAACAAAACCAAAAAAAGATTCAAATCTTCTCAGTTTCCCAAAAGTTCCATTCTAACAAACATGAATCCTAATAGACGAGTTTACACATGTATCAGTAGTGCAGACGAGTTATGTATAATCACATACAGTTTCCATTCATTTCTTTTCTTTTTTTTTTTTCTTAAGGGAATGGAGGGGTGAGAGGTCATGGGGGCTCTGAAGGGGAGGGGGGGTGGTGGTGTTTGGATATGCTGTTGAGTAAAATTCTCCCTGAAACCAAATCCAAACCATCTTCATATCAATGTACATGTGTTTTTCTTTTCTTTTTTTCTTCCAAAGACAGAGGTGAAGAGAAATGTGCAAAAGTTCCACGTTCTCACTGGAAAGAGAAGAAGACATTTCAATTAAATTTCCATTTCATTTGAAGGATGATAACTTTTTTTTGTACTATTTATGTAAGCTGATGATGGAGACGTTTTTTTTCTACCTTTCACATTCCCACAGGATGCTTGCTCTTTCTTTACACCTCAGCTTTTTGGCTGTTCTCCTCCACTTTCTCCTCCAGCTTTTTCTCCTCCTCAGAGGAACCGTTCTCCTTCTCGCCGGTCTTCCAGCTGCCCTGCCTGTTTACAAGAAAACATGACATGATGATAATGCTTCCTATGCACATTGTGCGTTGGCAACACACCATCGCTGTCCTAATGGAAGTGGTATACTCCTGTAAAGAGCAACATGTTAGTGTTTAATCCAAACAAAAGCTCCAGTGTAAAAATGTTTTACTGTTCATTTTCATGTTATAAATAGCAGTATTGCTATCTTTGCATGTTCTAAAACTAACATGTTTAGTCTACTGTGTACTTGATGGGTACTTTCTGATGACTGAGTATACACCACGCATCTAACTTACAACCTTGTGTATGTGTTAATTTTATTAAGACATCACAACTGGATTTGGAGCACAAGTAGGTTAGTTACATATCATCAGTCTTGATGGCTTTGTACTGTTTGTTTTTCTACTGTCATTTATTCT